CATAAATGTAATTTGGCCGAGTTTCTGAAGTCATGAAACAAAGTCAGCAGTTTAAGACCTAAACAACACAATGATTCTTATTACAGACTAACTGTAACATATTTGCAGGTTGGACAATCAAACAATTCAAATTTTTCAATCCAATCAACTGAAACCAATTTCCTTCAAGGGTTGAAGAATGATTTGGAATTTGCTAACTGAGAGAAGAATCCATTCGTTGTATTTCAAGGACACCGACCAATGAATACGACCAGGAGTAAAATTAGAGAAGCGCCATTGAGGGACAAATTAGTTGAGCAATATAGAGCCTATTTTGGTTTAGAACAAAGTGTATCTTATGTTATAGGGTCATGTACATAGATATGAAAGGTTTTGTCCACTTCACGATTTTACATGGAAATTCGAAGATGAATGGAAATGAGTAGAAGGCATTTCCTGTACATGTTGTGAAAGGGATGGCCAGGCAGGACTGGTAAGGGACTTGGGAAACACGAGCTGATCACCTCAATGATCCCATTTTTCCACAACATGCACAGTCCTTATGCTGTTTTGGTGAATTTGGGTGCTCTAGAATTTATGCTATGAAATATAAACATACACTTCCTTGTGTTGGTAAAAATGATGGAAAAGTGCATGATATGTTCGAAATTAGGCTCCAGGAAAAGCACTAACTAGCAGCAGCAGCAATGGTGATACAGGGGCAAGCTGGGCTGGGAAAAATTTACTCTTTCGTGGTACGATAAGATCCCCTGGATACTCTAAATCAATTTCAGGTAATATGATAGCTAGAAAGCTTTGTAGTTTCTATCCTCTATAGCATACTACAAAATTAGAACTTGTCAAGCATTTCTATAATGCATTTTTTGTTGTCAGCATGAAATACTTGCCAAGGATTTTTTTTTTATATATTTTTTTTTTAGCAATTAAGGATTTAGTTGCTTTATATCATCCAGTGGATCAAGCAACAAAGTCAAGAATGAGGCAAAAAATATTCACACAGCTGAGATGCTAAAATTCTGTCTCTATCACTGGGAGGGAGGGGGGGAGTCCTAGCCTTAGCCCTTGTTTGGCCCCCATTTCTTAAAACTCATTTTCAATCACACAATTCATGAGATCTACAATATTTATCAACTTTTCAACCACACATTTCTTCAATTTTTATCAAAACCAAATGGGGGATTAAAATCTAATGTCACATTAGAAAAAATTCTGTTAATGAAAGTGAAATGCTGTGCAAAAGTGAAATATAGAACCAAAAAGATGCGAAAAAGTGCAACACTTGGTGTTCCGCTATTTTATTTATTATTATTTTTTTTAAAAGGAAACATATTTTAGCTAACTAGGATTCAAATCGAAGTATCTAACTTTCCAATCAAACGATGTGCACATTGATTGGCGCCTTTCACCCAAGAATTTAGTTCATCCCTATCGTCTTGAAGGTAATTGAGGTCCTTGTTTTGCCTGTTGTCATGCAGGTTTTACTTGGTTAATAGGACAATTACATAAACTCGTGACAAGTAAACAGTGAGGAAATGAAAAAAGCAATAGTGTACTACAGCATG